ATAGATAGATAGATAGATAGATAGATAGATAGATAGATAGATAGATATAAAGAGATAGAGAGATAGATAGAACAGTACTGTAATGGTGGACCAAGGGAGCTCTCTGGGGTCTCTTCTATGTGGGCACTAACCTTACTCTCTCGCCCACATCCCACCCCCCTTCTCTTAATACTATAATACCATCACCTTGAACATTAGAAAATTTGGAAGACATGAGCGTTCAGACCATGGCAAGGATGCAGTAAGAATGATGGTACACATTTGTAATCCCAGCTTATTGGGAAGCTGAGACAGGAAGATTATAAATTCAAAGATAGACTGGGCAACATGTAATTTTTTTTCCTCTTTTTTGTGCCAATACTGGTGCTTAAACTCAGGGCCTTATTCCTTTGCCACTTGAGCCACAGTTCCACTAATGGCTTTTTGGTGGTTAATTGGTGAGAAGAGTCTTGCAAACTTTCTCTGAACTATGATCCTCAGATCTCAGCCTCCTGAGTAGCTAGGGTAACAGGCATGAGCCACCAGTGCCCAGGTGCAACGTAGATTCTGTCTCAAAAACACAGAGAAGTTGGGTGCCAGCGACTCTTGCCTGCAATCCTAGCTGCTCAGGAAACTAGGATCTAAGGGTCATGGTTCTAAGCCAGCCAGGGCAGGAAAATCTGGGAGACTCTTATTTACAATTAATTACTAAAACAAAAAAGCCAGAAGAGTGTGTCTCAAGTGGTAAAATGCTAGTCTTTGACCCGAAAAGGCTTGGGGACAATGCCCAGGCCCTGAGTTCAAACCCCACAACCGACTGGGGGAAAAATTGATTTATTTTGTCTTAAACTAAAGGTCAGCTGCTGATATTCTGGCAGTTAGGAAATCTGTGTGCACTAAGAAGCTATTGCTTAAAATCATTCTGAAAGCGGTTTCCTGGGCCAGTAGTGCCCCCTTCTGAGCTGAACTTTGAACTACGTGCCTGTGGACCCCATCAGTCTGGGCGGGGACCGATGTTTACAACTGCAGTGCTCTAGAATGAGGGGTGGAGCCAGGAGTTCAGCTGGACTGCCACAGGTGTGGGGGCGCTGCTGCCCCTGCTGGACTTAACCTTGCTATGTGAGTCCCTTCGTGGTAAAAGGAAGGTGCTAGCAAGTTGGTAGCAGGACTGTTCCTTGAAGCAGTCTCCTGATTTCATTCTGCTCTACTATGTTACATCCCCAAAGAAATCGCTCCCAGCCAATCTTAAGGCTGTTTCAGATACTTTCCTGAAAAAGTAGCCAATCTTCCATTCTGTGTCTTAATGCATCCCTGAGGTGTTGTGTGCTTGTGTATGTGTGTGCTTGTGTATGTGTGTGTTTGTGTATGTGTGTGTTATTGTTGTTTTGTTTTGTCTTATGCTAGTCTTGGGACTTCAATTTGGGACCTGGGTGCCCTCCCTAAGCTTTTCTGCTCAAGGTTAGTGCTCTACCACTGGATCTCCACCTCTGGCTGTGTGTGTGTGTGTGTGTGTGTGTGTGTGTGTGTGTGTCTGTCTGTCTGTCTGTCTGTCTGTGTGGTTAATGGGAGATAGAGTCTCCCAGACCTCTCTGCCCGGCTGGCTTGAGATCCTCACATCTCAGCCTCCTCCTGAGTAGCTATGATTACAGGCATGAGTCACCAGCACCATTCCCTGAGTTTCTTCTAACAATGTCTCTGAGCTCTTTTCTTTCTTTTTTTTTTGGGGGGGGTGGGGGGCAGTCCTAGTGCTTGCACTGTCCCTGAATTTCTTTTGCTCAAGGCTAGCACTCTACCACTTGAGCCACAGCACCACTTCCAGCATTTTCTATGTATGTGGTACTGAGGAATGGAACCCAGGACTTCATGCATGCTGGGCAAGCACTCTACCACTAAGCCACATTTCCAGCCCTGTCTCTGAGCTCTTTGATGTAATAAATACTAAAATTAATATTAACTAATCTTAAATTTTTGGATTGAGCTGGATTACTTAATACTCGTGAGTACTTAGCATGTGTTCATTTGTAGCATTTGTAGCACCTGTCAGGGCTGACTTCACAGCCTGTGCAGGGCAGATACTGTCAACACTTCCTCTGCACAGGAAGAAAGACATAGCAATTGCAGTGCACATAGGTAGCCCTTACACATCCTTCCAGGTCCCTCTGTGCACCCGCTTGCATGGCTCATGTTATGTACGTAGTCTCTTCTCTTTGGATAGAAGTGATGGGAGATACATCCCTACCCCTCCAACTCCAGGCCTTCAGTGTGAATATGAGATCATCTGTGATGTATACCCTCCTACCCACTTGCCACTGGCCCATGCTGGCTCCTTTTGGTTCTCTTCTAGACTTCTGGAAAGATCTGGTGCGAGCTTCACACAGGACATGCTGAATAGAGAACTGAAGAAGCTGTCTGAGAGTCTGGAAGGCACCAAGCACAGTGAAGTGATGAGACTCCTCCGAGTGGCCCTCAGCGGACAGCCGGTGTGTGGGGCATTGGGCAGGGCTGCTTTCTGGAGCCACCCGGGGCTTGGCTCAGCTAGTATTTACTGGCAGGTGCTGAACACACTTTGTGGGAATACAAAGATGGCCGAAGCATTGAGTCACTCAGCAGACTATCATATTTTGAGCATCTTTTTATCTGTATGCAAGTACCGTGCAAATACTATGTGCATGGTAGTGAGTGAAACACATAAAAGCCAGGTACCAGTGGCTCAGGCCTGTAATCTCAGGAGGCTGAGATCTGAGGATCTCAGACAAAAGGCCATGAGACTTCTAACACTAAAATGCCTGAGGTGGAGCTGTGACTCAAGTGGGAGAACGCTAGCCTTGGCACAGAAGCTCAGGGACAGTGCCCAGGTCCTCAGTTCAAGCCACAAGACTAACACAAAAAGACAACAGTGTGGGAAGAGGTGGCGTTGTCCAGAAAGAAATATTCTTTTTCCCTGACTTACATAACTATAACCCTTTTGTATATCACCTTTATAAGAACAATAAAAAATTAAAAAAAAAAAAGCCTCACAAGCCCATCTTCATGGGCTTCATTGAGGGAACAGATCTATCAGTGGTTTACCTAATGGCAAAATGGGCTCCTAGGTAGGACCCAACATCATCCAGGGAAAAGAAGGACCATAATCACCGAATCTGTAGCTCCATGGTAGAGCACTTACATAATGTGCTGAAGTCCTGGGTTCCATCCCCAGGGCCATCAATCAATCCTAGCTACTCAGGAGACTGAGATCTGAGGATCGCAGTTCAAAACCAGCCAGGTAGGAAAGTCCATGAGACCCTTTATCTTCAGTTAAACACAAAAAAGCCAGAATTGGAGCTGTGGCTCAAGTGATAGAGTGCCAGCCTTGAGGGGAAAAAAACAAAAACAACGCTAAGCAATAGAACACTAGGTCCTGAGTTCAAGCCCTAGTACTATCACAAAAGGCAAGCTCCTTGAATACAGGCTGCAGGTTGAGGCTGAGCTCAGGTCCTGAGGCAGTTCTAAATATCATACAGCAATGATTTTGCTTTATTTTCCCCCCTTTTGTTTTATATAGCAAGGACCCCCAGTGGCTGAGATGATGGTATCCTTGGGACCCCAGGAAGTATGGGAACGGATCCAGAAGGTTCTTTCCAGCTAAGGAGCATGTGTGCAGCACACTGGATATGGCCCCAGGGTCCTGAGCCCTTGAAACTGCCCTGGGAGGCCTGGGGCCCCCGCCTTGCAGAGGGACCAGGCATGGAGAGGCTGACTGAACTCAAGACGTTGATGGCACCCCAGCAGGCCAAGGCCAAGGAAGCCCAGCCCACCGAAGTTTCTCGATTCCAGGAAAGATGTCCTTCTGTATGGATTTCCACACCACATTCCACACAGGGGTTAGGAGCTGGAGCACAGAAAATGCTGTTTTCCAGGACAGTTCAGAGGGCTCAAGTATGGATTTCATACAACAGAGATTTCTTACAGTTAGAGAAGCTGCAAATCCAAGATCAAGTGTCACAGTGTTGTTTCTCCTGGGCCTCTCTCCTTGGCTCACAGACTGCCATCTTCTTGCTGTGTTCCAAGTCTCCTCCAAGCCCCTGCATCCCTGGCTTCCCTCTGTGTATCCTAATTTACTCCTCTCAGGATACCAGTCACATTAGATTAGCCTTGCCTCACAGGCTCATGCTGCTCTTTAACACTGTGGTCCTGAACATAGGCCTATAACATATGACTGAGCAGTCAGGGGACAGTGTGCACAATTTAGCCTACAGCTTGGCAGTAGGCTGGGCTAATAGATCCAGTAGCTGACAATTGACACAAGCAGTTGGCCTAACTAGATATTAAACATTATTCAGGGGTTGTAAAGGGAGAAGTTACTCATCGGCCAAGGGAAGCACTTGCATTTGATGTTAGTCTTCATATGTGGACCTTCGGACAGCCTGTGTTCCTTTCCCCAGAGAGGGGACTCCCCTCTCCCCTTTCCCAGTCCTTCAACTGGAGACTTTTCCCCTGCCTGTTTGGTGTCTTCCTTTCTATAGCCACTCCTTTTTTCTGCTATTACTGGAAAGCCTTGTAGATTTCTGAAGGGAATTCTTTCCCCCCTTGGCATCTTAGGTGACTTGGAATAGCTAAAATGAAAAGGAACGGGGAGATAGGGAGGGACTAGGGACAAAGTCTTTGAAGGTTTCTCAAGCTCATGGTGAGCAGCCAGCCTAGAAGTTGGCCATAGGCCATCCCTGCCTCCGCATGGTCAAGGCTGACTTGTGTGACCAGCAGGCCTTGAGGAAATGATAGGAGCTTGACTGCCAAGGTCATCAGACACCTCAAAGCTTCTAACTTGTTCCTTTGAATTCCTTATCTTGGGGGTGCAGCTTCTAGGTCAGGAAGACACTGGAGCAGCCCTTTGCAGGGGGTCTTGTCATTGGCCATGTGGGTGAGCCGTGTGGGAAGCTGGTCTTTCTTTCCATCCTAGCCAAGTAGGTGGACGACTACCACCTCCCTGTGAGACCCAGAGCAGCTCCGCAGAGCCCCTCTGGAATGTAAGGGACTAGGCTGTGAAATAGTAAATGTTTATTTTCTCAAGCCACTTGATTTGGGGAGGAGGGGGTGATTTATTGCTCCAAAGAGATAACTACTCTCTGCCCCAGGAGAGCAGGGTAAATGCATTAAAGAGTTTGTTGGGCCTTACAGAGTCCTAACCTTTGTTTTAAAAAAAAAAAAATCCAGGGGCTGGGAAGGTGGCTCAGTGGTAGAGTGCTTGCCTTATATACAAGAGGCCCTGGGTTTGATTCCTCAACATTTACATAAGCAGAAAAAGCCGGAAGTGGCGCTGTAGCTCAAGTGGTAGAGCGCTAGTCTTAAGCTGAAGAGCTCAGGGATGGCACCCAGGCCCAGAGTTCAGGCCCCACTACCAACAACAACAACAAAAAATCCACCAGAAGCCAGGCGCTAATGGCTTACTTGAAGATGGAGGTTTAGAGCCAGCCTGGGTGGAAAAGTGTGAGCCTTTTATCTCTAATTAACCACCAAAAAACACTCAAGTGACAGATCATCAGCCTTGAGTAAAAGAACCAAGTAAGCTCATGAGACCCTGAGTGCAAGCCCCAGTACCACCAAGTAAAGTTCTCTGGTTATGAGCAAAATAAGTCAACCATCTAATGAAATTCACTGAAGGCCAAAGAATTTTTTGGGGGAGGGAGGGGAGGTCATTCCTGGGGCTTGAACTCTGGGCCTGGGCACTGTCCCTCAGCTCTTCAGCTCAAGGCCAGTGCTCTACCACTTGAGCCACAGTGTCACTTCCAGTTTTCTGAGTGGTTTATTGGAGATAAGAGTCTCATGGACTTTCCTGCCTGGGTTGGCTTTGAACTGCAATTCTCAGATCTCAGCCTCCTGAGTAGCTAGGAGCCTGGCACACCAGAGAATTTATGAAAAAGCCCAGGAGAAGGTAGGAGCCAAGCTGCAGTGGTCACTCTGGTCCCTACTGCATAGTAGGGACATATGAACTACATGTTTTGTTGTTTCTTTTTCTCTGTTGTGTATGTGTGTCTCTCTGAGTTTTGGATGTCAGGTTCAGGTTCTGAGTCTAGTTGGCTGAATCCATGTTGCCAGATCAGATCTTAACCAGGACCGAGTAGTCCCTTAGAGACTCTTCTCCAGTGAAGGAAGTATTGCCAGGAAAACTAGGGAGCTTTTTCTAGAAGAGATCATGGAAGACAGGTGTCCTCAACTACATCAGCTAAACCACTGTGCTTTCAGATGGTGCTGTGGAGCTTCACCCTGTCTCACCTCTCACTACTCCATGACGGGGAATGGGGGGGGATATATACTGCCGTCTGCACTGTAGATGGGGAAACTGAGGTTAGAAAGACTTAAGAACACTGATGAAACTATGTTTTGCGGCAGTCAGTATTTAAACTAGGCCAATGACAATCCAGAACCCAAACCCAAATGTTTCCTACCAAGTAGCATCAAACTTTGCTTCTAAGACATCAAGAACCGGGCTGGGAAGGTGGCTCAGTGAGTGCTTGCCTCCCATGTATGAGGCTCTGGGTTCAATTCCTCAGCACCACAAAAGCAGAAAAAGCCAGAAGTGGCTCTATGACTCAAGTGGTAGACTGCTAGCCTTGAGTTGAAGAGCTGAGGGACTGTGACCAGGCCCAGAGTTCAGGCCCTAGGACCAAAAACAACAAAAGACATCAAAAACCATTATAGAGAGCCAGGTGCTGGTGTTTCACGCCTGTAATCCTAGCTACTCAAGAGACTGAGACCTGAGGATCATGGTTCAAAGCCAGCCCGGGCAGGAGAGTCCATAAAAATCTGATAATGAATTAAGCCAGAAGCAGAGGTGTGGCTCAAGTGATGGAATATCAGTCTTGAGTGAAAAAGGTAAGGAACAGTGTCTAGGCCCTAAGTGCAAGCCCCAGTTCTAACATGTACACACACAGGCAGGAGAGTATATTGGCTGTCTGGTTTTAGAGGTACAGGAAGCGGTAAATTACTGCTTAATGGGAGGCAGTTTGTTTCACTAAACATTAGCTGTTTCCTCATGATCAGCACTCACTGTTGTCTTACTCTTAGAAAATCTTGGTTGCACCACAGAGAAACATTCTCAGTGACTGAAACCATCAATAAATTTCTTGAAGCTAGCACTGCTGGCTCATTCCTGTAATCCACGGCTCCTCAGAAGGCTGAGATCTGAGGATCATGGTTCAAAGCCAGCCCATTCAGGAAAGGCTGTGAGACTCTTAGCTCTAACCACCCAAAAGCAGGAAGTAGTGTTACTGTTCAAATGGTAGAGGGCTAACTTTGAGCATCAGAGCACAGGGGCAGTGCCTAGGCCCTGAGTTCAAGTCCTGGGACGGTGCATACACATAAACCCAACCTTCTGGTTTTTGTTTTTAGCATTTTCAAATGAATAAATTTTAAAAATGCTTGAAAGTGGAGCTGGGAAGGTGGCTCAGTGGTAGAGCGTGCCTGAGGCCCTGGGTTCGATTCCTCAGCACCACATAAGCAAAAAGAAAAAAAGCCGGAAGTGGCGCTGTGGCTCAAGTGGTAGAGTGCTAGCCTTGAGCTGAAGAGCTGAGGGACAGCATCCTGGCCCAGAGTTCAGGCCCTATGACTGGACCAGAAAAAAAAAAAAAAGCTCAGGGACAGTGTCTAGTCCCTAAGTTCAAGCCCCAGGACTGGCAGGGGAAAAAAATCCTTCTCAAAGACCAAGAAAATCAATAGTGAAAAAAGGAAGACCTTTTCTGAAAAGGATGATGGAAAGGTTTGGTGGAGTAAGCTTTTGCTTGACTTCAGAGAATTTCACATATTATGGGTTCTGAGGGATGAGTAGGAGTTTCCCAGTGAGAAGTGGATTATGAGGTTATTTGAAGTGGAAGAATGAAAAAGAAAAAGCTTTACAATGTTGGAGATGACTGGAAGATAGAAGGGCAGCTGAGGAACCAAGCAGAACTGAGATCTGAAAGATCTTTCTTTGCCAGTAAAATACATCCAGGCATGATCTGATGCAAATGCAAGATCCTCATTCTAGCCAGGAGTGGGAAGATAAGATTGGCTGATGGTGATGTCAGCCAGGGCCCAGCATCCCCCGACCTCTGCTCTCCTAACTCTGAACCCTAAACAGTCTGGGGAGGTTCTCACAGTTGACTGCCTGAGTCAGGTATCTGCACTTCCTGTTATTGGCCTGTGGCAGTCTTTGCCTCTAAGCACTGTCCCCTCACCTGGCCTTTCTGAGCCCCCATCCCTACTGGGGAAGTGAGGGATTCTAGGACTAGTGCGGAACTCCAATCTGATTGGCTGGATCAGGAAAAGATGAGCCTGCAATGTTCTTTCTTTCTTGTTGTTGGTTGTGGGGCCTGAACTCTGGGCCTGGGAGCTGTTCCTCAGCTCCAGAGCGCTTTACCACTTGAGCCACAGCACCACTTCTGACTTTTTCTTCTTATGTGGTTGATGCTGAGGAATCGAACCCAGGGCTTCATTGCATGCAAGGCAAGCACTCTACCTCTGAGCCACCTTCCCAGCCCGCAATGTTCTTTCCATACAGTGAAACATGATTGCATGTGTGAGAATTTGGGTGTGTGCATGCATGTGCCAGTATAGACCTTAAACTTGTTCTCATTTACAGCCACTTTAGGTTCCCTTAGGGCCCAGGGCCCCTTCCTGTTTTTTCTCATGCTGTTCTTTCTAGAAAACTCCTGGATATAGGTTTTTCAACCCTGCTTCATTCCCTGTTGGTGTCTGTTGTTGTTGTTGTTTTTTAAGTAATGGGGTTTGAATTCAGGGCCTCTTGCCCTCACTAGCTTGCTCAGCTAGTGCTCCACCACTTGGGTCATGTCTCCAGCCTGCCTTTTTTTTTCTTTTCTTTTTTCCTTTTCTTTCTTTCTTTTTGCCAGTCCTGGGGCTTAAACTTAGGGCCTGGGCACTGTCCCTGAGCCTCTCTATGCTCAAGGCTACCACTCTACCACTTGAGCCACAGTGCCACTTCTGGCTTTTTCTGTGTATGTGATACTGAGGAATTGAACCCAGGGCTTCATGCATGCTAAGCAAGCACTCTACCACTAAACCACATTCCCAACCCCTGGCTTTGTTGTTTTTGTTGTTGTTGTGGGGCTTGAACTCGGGGCCTGGGCACTGTCTGTGAACTCTAGACTAACAGTCTCCAATTTGAGCCGAAGATATACTTCCCTTAGTGAGATAAGAGTTTCATGGGAACTTTCCTACCTGGGCTGGCTTCAAACTGCCATCCTTAGATCTCAGTTTCTTGTGTATCTAGGATTACAGGCATGAGCCATCTGTGCCTGGCTCCTGGTTCTTTGTTGATTATTATTATTTTATTTTTTGGGTCCGGTCATGGGGCCTGAACTTTGGGCCTGGGCGCTGTCCCTCAGCTCTTCAGCTCAAGGCTAACACTCTACCACTTGAGCCACAGCGTCACTTCCGGCTTTTTTCTTTTCACTTATGTGGTGCTGAGGAATCGAACCCAGGGCCTCATGCATTCAAGGCAAGTGCTCTACCACTGAGCCATCTTCCCAGCCCGAATGTAGCAATTTTATATTTATTAGGCTGGACAAGTTTGGCTTGGTTCTCACTAAGATCTTTATGATGCCCTGGGGGATTTCCAACTTACATTCAAGCCCAGGCAACACGTTGGGGTCCCAGCCAAGGAAGTGAGCCGTGCCCTGACCACTCACAATCATGGCTTCAGCAGGATGGCCCAGCCACAGAGTCTGGCCTGTCCACAGAGCTCCTCTCCATTCATTTACAGTACTAACACTTTTAGATCTGGAAGTGTACACAGGAACAACACAGGACTAGCCCACTAATGTCATTACCCCACTATTTTTTCTTTTTCTTTTTTTTTCTTGCCTGTAATAGTACTTGATATCAGGGCTTTGTGCTCTTTTTTTTTTCTTTCTCGTCTGGCTCTCTATTACTTGAGCTACCCCATCTACTTCATGTTACCCTTATTAAACCAAGTGTGGTATATAATCCCACAGTGCTATAAGCCCAGCCCTGTTGAAGATGAAGCAGAATGGTGAGTCCAGGGCAGCCTAGGGTATACAGCAAGATGTGTCTTAAAATAGCAATGGAAGTGAGGCCCTGAGTTCAGGCCCCAGTACCAACACACACACACACACACACACACACACACGCTCCCAGTGCCAAGGGACACTAACAATTGCAGTAATACCAGTGTGCAGAGACCAAGGTAAAATGACAGGGATGG